TATTTAGCTCAGCAATATCCTTATGTCACGACATTTTAAATCCTCTTTTCCTTGCTTTCAACACCTGCACATCATCAGACAAGTACCTTTCCCATAAAGCAGCACCGTTGTAAAAATAAAATGTCACGGCAAACTGAAATCCACCACATGCAACTATATGCTCCTAAATGCATCTAATTGGTCCTAAATGGGCTCTTAGACATTCAATAACTTAAGTGAAAAGGTCCTAAAATATGACCTTTTCAAGGAGTTATCAAATGGTCGCCAAACCATCCGCTACTCGGTTAACTATGAACATCTCCAACCGCATGCCAAACTGTGGAACTATTTTCTGAAGCACAAGCTAATGCCCACATCCCACAATACGACGGTATCTATTTCCCATTTAATGCTCTTACATTCAATTATGGAAGCTCGTTCTATTGATGTGGGTAGGATCATTTTTCAACAAGTACATGAATGTTTAGGAAAAAAGGTGAGTGCTTTAGTGTTCCCAATTTTGATTACTACACTGTGTCGAAAGAAAAAAGGTAAGTGAAAATTCCTTTGATTAAATTTTATATGGAGTTTTGGGTATTACTAGGGCCAGATTACCATTACTGTTGGGTCTTGAAAACCCAAAATCTAAGGCCCCTGGTCATGAGAAGCCTGCAGATGGTGCACAATCTAATGTCGAGGCAAGGATGCTTTCTCTCGAAGCAGCTGTTATGCAAACTCATACTCATTTACATGCTTTACATGGTGATATTCAAATTTTTTTGGTTATCTCAAACAGAGAGATGTTGTGGTGGAAACGATGTTCCAAGAAATCCTTCCACACGTTTAACAAAATTTTCCAGGCTTTCCGGATGAAATTCTATCAGCATTTAATACCGAGGCATCTCCTGATCCAGAGCAAGATGATGTCGATCCTCCAGTTGAAGAATCGACTCCAAACCCTCAACGTTCCTAGACCCCTGACTCACATGTTACTCAAGGTGAAAAAATACCCAGTCCAATTCATGTGCCTGACTCTCTCTTGCAGAACACAGTGGCCGACGTACCAAAACATCGACTGGATGCTTCAATGTAGAGCAGTACCACTCTAGCTCTTCAGAGTCCAGCCCTCCACCATTGCGAAAGTGCACTAGACGAGGAGCTACCAGTACCTCTAAGGCAACACCACCACACAAACCATGAGGTACCTCCATTTGCATTCATTTTGCATTTCATTGCACATATAGTTTTATTTCTTTTAGTTCTCTTTAAGCATTGATGACAATGCTTCCCTTAAGTTTGGGGGAGGTAGCGTTCTTGTTAGACCATATGCATGATAGTATTAGTGTAAAATTATGCCATGGCATCAGTAAGTGGTAGGACAATTAGATAAAATGTCTTAATGATACACGATGATGATGAACTTGTTAGGCTAGAAATTGAATATAAATTACTATTGAGAATGATAGAACTAACTCTAGGGCTTGATGTTCTGTGAATTATTTTTACACGATTTGTATGTTCTCTATACTTAGGAAATTTAGAAAACTTTTATGAAGGAACCCTAGTTAGTTTTGTCATTAAAATTTAGTATTGTACTTAAAAGATAAATAAAAAATAACTCCCTTATATCTAAGATTGTGAATAAATGCTTAGGCATAGCTGTAGAGGGACACTCTACTCTGCTGTGGCATTGCCTGGAACTCTCTTTAATAAATGGAAGCCACGGGCATATGAGTGAATGAAAGTAGTCATGGGATGACTCTACTTAACTAGCTTGGGGTGGAAGGTATACTCCCTTTCACCTAGAGTGTGGGAAAATAGGTGTGATGAGCTGACTCCCTTCGTAGCAGCGAATAAAAAAGTAAAAAGGCAGTAAAAACGTGCTTAATGAATAAGTAAATGCCTTGGCAAAAACTAGGGGACTTAATTAGAAATTGTTTAAATTTGTTAAGTATAGATTGGATGCAATCATGCACACGCACTACCACAAAGAATCTTGACCTAGGGAAAAGTACTTGAATTCTTGATATGTCTAGTATGTTGAAGCCAATTTTCTGAGGGTTGAAATTCAATTTTTATCCTGTTGTCCTACTGTTGAAAATTGCATTGACGTTCTGCTTATGTTTATTGCTATCCATTGCTTGAGGACAAGCAGTAGCTTAAGTTTGAGGGTGTGACAACTTCCTAAAAAGACTCCTTTTAAGGCATTTTTCACTTAAGTTAATATTTGTTTAAAAGCTCATTTTAGCCATTTTAGGATCATGTAGTTGCATATAGTTGCATTTGTGGTGGTATTCATATTTTTTCTTTTAAGGATATTGTATGAGATAATGGTGCAGCTGCTTATGGTGTGGAGGAAATAGCAAGCAAAAGGTCACACTAGGAAGGAATGTCGTGACATCACACGCTGTTGAAGCAGATTGAAATGCCTAGGCATTTGTGGCGTAAAAACGGACTGAAAGATATTTTTGTAAAAGGACAGCTGGCACAACACGTGAATGATGATTGTAACCGCCTGCTGGGGACCACTGCCACCTGGAAGGATAAGACTCGCGCCTAAGGGGTGACTCTAGGGGTATGAGGGGTATTTTGAGCACAACAACATCATCATTACCTATAGATATTTTTATTATATATTACACCTCACATGAAAGTAAAAAAAGAAGAGGATATTCAACAACATTTTTCTTATCTTTTTCACCGTATCCTTTTCTTCTTCCTTGAGTGGTGTTCCTCCATTGATAAGCTCCAAGGAGTGGCGAGCTAGACATCCGAGATGAGCTAGAGAGCCAAGACGAGTCTTGGAGGTTGAGTAGAGCTCCGGTGGCGCGCGTCGAAGGCTTCTTCTCCCTTCCCTTTGCTGCTAGTTTTCTATTTATTATTGGATTGTTTGGAACGAATATTTCATGGCTTATTCTATAGATGATTCGAACCCCACCATGAACTAACTTTATTTGGTGGGGTTGTTTGAGGGATGTTTGGTTAAAGTTGAATAATACCCTTGTTCTTGTTCGTTTGTATGCCTAGTCAAGGGCTTTATTGAGAGATTCAAAACCAAATACGCATACCATGGATAGATTCTCCTTTAATGAGCGAGTCACTAAGTAACAAGCATTTCACTGTCCTACCATATATTTATACTAATATTAGCTATGCTTTTCCTCAAATGCTTGAAAAGGAATAACTAGAAACAATTATGCATTTCAAAAAAGTAGAACTAAAGTAACTCTCTGAAGTAGATGCCATATATCTAAAACAAGGTTAACAGAGATCAAAGTTATCAAAGGCTTAAGGCGAATCGAGGCGCAAAGTCTCCTGGAGCCTTGAGGCGCGAGGCGCATGAAAGGCGCATGAAAGGCGCATGATTCACGAAGACGAGGCGTATGATATCCAAAAAATTGTAATACATGTGTATATTAATGCAATCAAACTCAAATATCAAACCCAATATTAGGCTTCAATAGAGTTCATTCTCAAACTCAAAATACCAACCTAATATCATAAAAGCTATCAACAAGCATAATCAAGTCGCTAAAAATGATATTTAACGTCGCAATCACCAGTCGAAGAAAAAGAGGAAGCGCTCAATCGATAGGTTAGTATGTGTGGATTAGAAGGTCGATTGACATTTTATTAAGGGTTTTAGGGGTCCTAAAAGGTGGTTCATTTTAATACTAAAATAAGCCACGTCTTCACTATGTTACTTTGAAAACGATGGAACAATAAAAAAACTTAATGCATAAAGTTTAATGAATATATTAAAAAAATCAAAATATACAGTAAATAAAATAATAAAGAAAGTAAAATTCAATAATCAGATATTAATTGATTATTTCATTGTTTGGGCCATAAAAATCTAGGCCACAAAAATAAAATTATCTGCAGTAGTAATAATGTATGAATGATATACATCAAAGCTTATCTCAACTATACCAGACTAAATATCCAAAATTTTGTCAACCAATGGTGGAGTTTTGGTGAAATTCGTAGAGCTGAAAATTAAAGTAGCATTTTGCTAATAATGTGATAATGGTGATAATGGAGATAATGGTGATAATGGAGATCACACGTGTCAGTATTCGATTCACAGGCCCAGATTTCGATGGATGAGAGATTCAATCAACTGTCCCTCGCCTATAACTCAAACACCTTCTCCTTCAACATCCTAGCTTCTGCCTTCACCGTCTCCACCAAAAATGGCAACATAAATGGAACTCGTAAAGCCTATCTCCAAGTTCAGTTCAAGCACTCCAGTCTTCACCAACTCAAGTTATGTGAAGTTCATCACCATCAGGATGTCATCCACTTCGCAACCAACAACAAAGACCGCCGTCAAGTGCGACAAGAAAGCCACCAAAACAACAATAAAAGAGACCCTTCTAACGCCAAGATTATACTCTACCGACTTTGACAAGATGGAGACCCTTTTTAACACCAAAATCAACAAGAACCTCAACCTGTCCGAGTTCGAGGCACTGCTTCAAGAGTTCAAGACGGATTACAACCACACACTTCGTGAGGAACAAGGATTTCAAGGAGGGTGTCGTGCCTCAGAGCCTTGCTGCGCCTTGGCTACGTGCCTCGCTTCAGTATTGAAAAAGCCTCGTTCAGTGATCCTCTGCGCTTTTTACAACTATGACAGAGATTAAGTTAAAACTTATAAAATGCTCTTTACAAACAGTACCATGATAGTGAAATGAAACGACCATGTTAGAAATTGCACAATGGATGCCAAATCTATCAAGAGCACTAACTTTGGCACTTTCCAAATAGAAAAAACAGTTCCCCTCCAGTAGTTACCACAATTTACTATTTAGGCCATACTAAACATAAAACTATAGTTATAACATATACGACCAAAAGTTAAAAATGTTAAAAATATTTTAACATCTCATTATTTATGAGAAGATGAAAAAGAAGACCAAGCCATAAGGTTAGCTTCTCGTGTATCGGACATATTTATCATTAGTCTCAAACAACATGACCTGAAACAAAACCACGAATAGGAGAACTGATTTAAACTACAAGAACCTCAAGCATGATTAAATTGCAGATGGATAAGACACACATCTGAAATACACAATTGACTTTGACAAATCTGTGGATGTTATGAATATGATCATGTGAAAAAGTTCCTCTGCTTACTAAGAACAGTAACCCTTCTCTTGTTTTACAACAGATCTTCATAGAGCTTATGAAGAACATGCTTTAAATGGTAATCTTTACCGTGAACAAACAACAATGACTGCTCAAGGAACTTCCCATATATATTTTTTTCAAAAATGAGATTTCAATATGGGAGAGAAATCCATCCGTGATTCAATTGCACCTATGGAGGGATTGGCGACAAAGGTTTTATCTTCTCCAACAACTTCTCAGCCTCTATAAACCCAAGTGGCCCCGAAGATAAATATTTTAATTGTTTCCATCTGTTAATATATTTTAAGAATTAGAATCAGTATTTACAGCTTTTGCAACTTCTTCAAAATTAACACCTATAAGAAATAGACAGACAATTTAATAAAGAAAGAAAGACGAAGAAACTACTAAACTGCTAAACACCTACCTAGGTATGAAAGGAAGAGCGAAACAGTGGAGGTGGAGATGGTCGACACTGTTCAATGGAGGCTGATGGAAACCAAATCTACCAAAACCGAAAAAGGATCAAGAGGATCAGAAAATTAGACTTCTTTGAATTAACACAATCGGAAGCAAAAAAACTTATTTTCCCCCAAACAAAAAGGTCAATTAAGGTAACTTATGAGGCCATAACCTGCTTCTTTCAAGAATTCACACATTAGGTAAATGTTTTATTTTCATTCAACATTTTGTTCATGATTCACAAGCAGATTTGAAACAGAAGAGAGAGCACTATGTATCATGAATTTTAAATAGATTCGAAAGAGAAAGTAAGACACACCCTTAATACTCTTCAGTCTTCCCCCATCATTAACCTCACAAACGGTATTACTCTGCCCCTTTGCCACCCAACTCGTGCAACAAAATATAATTTGAATATACTACTTTTCTCCAACAATAAAATGATTGCAAAAATTATCAAATACAAATGAAAACATAACAGAAACCGTTTACACCGCTTTGGAGGAGAAATTGAAATCCAAGTCCTAATGCATGGAACAAGGACAGTTCATACAAAATATGTCCGTTTCTAAGAGTTTTTACACAAACCGTAATGCAGCTATAAACCGAACATCACAGTCAAATAAGTGATCAAAAAGCAATAAGGTATATTCAACATAGATCAATTCCATACGATAGGACATTAAAGGATTCCCATTTGCCAAAATTATTTACTTTATGGGAAGCAATACCTGTATTTATTTGGCTGAGGTGCATCCCTGCTTAACATAGTTTCCCCCACATTTAACATGTCACTTACTAAAGAATAACAGCATAAACAAATAAAAGTTAGCTCAGGCAAAAAAAAAAAAGGAAAGAAGAAAAGGGTAAATAAAAAGTCCACAAAGGGAACTTTACCCAATGTGTAATGTTCGTTTCCTCTTTGAAGATCATTGACAGTTGGAATGTGCTCCACTGGTACCACCAAGTAATGCCTACAAAATTCGAATCAATAATTTTCAGTTACATTACAAAATTTCAAAATCATCATGAAAAAGTTACCACGTTTCAATCGTTTCATAGAAACCTGAATGCAGCAGGCTTGATATCTTGAAATGCAACGATCTTGTCATCCTGAAAACAATCTAACAGATTTAATTAGAACTGGAAAAGTATTTCTGGTTGAATGCTGGATTGAAAAGAAGACGAACGTGGAATTAAATTGGTAACCAGATGGACAAAATAAAGAAGGAAAAAAAGGAACGAACGGAATGAAGGAGGGGAGTGGAGTTGGAACTTCGAGCGATTTGACAGAAGATGCATGGTGAGATCGCTCTCGCCATTTACCCCCAAATTGAGACCACTTCTAAAACCCTAAAACGCTAATCACCCTTCCCAAAACGATCTCGTATCCTGCAATGTATGTCCAATAGAGAGCGTTTATTTATGTTCATTCATTCTTATAATGTATTTTAGGGTAAACTACAACACACGTTACTTTCGTTGGGTTTTCTTTTGATTTTGATAATTAAACATTTACAATTTACTATATATGTGGTTAGTTAATTATGGAGAGATTCTAATTTGACTATCAATGTTTCAATTTTATCAATCAAATGACTAAATTATTCAAATGATGTCATTCAAACCACCGTTTGTTAACATTTAATAGAAGAATTGATATAATAGTTAATAAAATTCAGTACATCATAATTGGTCTATGGCGGTTTTTTTTAGTCCTATAGCGGCGTTTAAAATGCCACTACAAATACTCCCGGTGCAAAAAAAAAAACACCACAAGTGTTAGCAACGTTTTGAAGCACAAAACGCCACAAAAGATCTTGTTCTTTAGCGGCATTTAAAATACCGCAAAAAGTCTAGATTTTTAATGTCATTTATTATTCAAACGCCACAAAATGTCATGCTCTTCAGTGGAGTTTATTTTCAAATGCTGAAAAATGCCAGTTCTTTAGAGGCGTTTATTATGTACAATTGTTGCCAAATAAATACTCATTTAGGGTGTGTTTAGTTGGGGGAATATGAGATTCTCATGGGAATGGAATCCACATTCCCCCGTTTGGTTGGCCGGGAATGTCATTCCCTGTAATCTTACATTACCAATAGTGGATTTTTTGGGGTATATTACCGGGAATGTCATTACCTCCCTTTCCTTAGGTATTATTGGATTACCGATGTTTTGGACTAAAATGCCCTTAAAATTTTTTTTCTTTTCAAAAATATCCTTATTCTGTCATTGAATAATAAAAATTCTATAAAGGTTAAATTACAAATTTATCCTTAAACTATTTTAGATTTACAAAAAAAAAAAGTCTATAATTAAAATTTTATATGAAGTTCAGGGGTTAAAATAAAATTTTACCCTTTCATTAAACCTTTTTATATTTTCAATTTTGTAAAAAAAATTATATAAATTTTATGAATTTAAATTTTTTAAAGAAAATATATAAATATTTTCCAACTTGTTAATAAAACAAATATATAATAAGGACAATTTGGTCAAATATACATTCTAATAATCTTTTATTCCTTTAACCAAACACAGTAATCTTACATTCCTGCTAAACCAACCAAACACAAAATACAACATTCCCAGTAATCATATTCCCTGGTAATCTTTTATTTCCACTGGTAATCTTACATTCCGTAAACCAAACGCACCCTTAGTGGTGTTTTTAATCTTAAAATGCCGCCAATCACAACTTATTTTAAAAATGTTTTTTCTTCATTGTACTATCCAAATTTAACATGTAACAATATCCAATAACAACATAAATGTATTACCCAAATATAATTATGTTTCCATTCAAGTAAAAATATATAAAAGTTTGAATAAAACAAAGTTTACAAACGTCCAATTGGAATGTAAGATAATTCACCATTGTTCACTAGTAAAAACAAAGCATTGACCTAACAAATCATCTACGATGAAGAATTCTTCGCTTGATTTTTTTGCATCATCTACTTCATAGCTTCAAGTTGATTATGAAGTTCTTCATATTTTTTCTGATATTCTGCTTCTCTATTTACTTCTCTCACTTCTCTTTATGTTTCTCTCGCTTCAGCTTTAGCTTTCTTTTGAACAAATTTTTCATCCACTTCAGTCAACTGTTGTTTTAATTGATTAACTTCTGATTGAGAAGACTAACTATGTGATGACATGTATTGAGAACTACAACATATATTTCAGGACCGAAAACATCAACAATAACTTGATTTTCAATATCATCCACATTAATAAAACCATGAGAAGAAGCTATAGATTCATACTCTTCCTTTTTAACACTCAATTATTCCTAATAATCAATTAAGAATTTAGAATGAATTTAAACATTAATTAAAATAAAAATGTTAATACTATAAATATACATATAACATAATTCCGATTTTAAAGTAGTAAATATACCACAATTTCTACAGTTTTGGGAGCTAGAGAAGAGCCATCTGTTTTGGTATGTGTCATTTTGAAGAGATTTACTCTTTCAACTCTATTGTCAGATGTAATTTCCTACAATGTAAAATATAAATTAATACTTAATAAAGTAATAAACAATAGAAAAATGCTCGTTACTATGTGCTACCAATACCTCATCATGAACTATAGGAGTAAAACTCTTTGATCTAGCTATGTGAGTAAACTTCTCTTGTTTTATGCTAGCAACACCAACGTGATCGTAGTCCTACAATTTGAAATTTACATGACTTATAAAGTTAATATTATAGTGACATTTAGTACTTATCACTTATATCTTATATTAATTTGATCCTAATTTTAATTTAAAAATTTTAAGCATCCAATCAGATGGTGGCATGTATCACTTGTGAAGGTATCATAACACATGTCATAATTTGATTGGAGGATTTTGTTTAATTTTAATTTATTTAGTTCAATAATTTTTTCTTTAATCAGATGATGACACGTCTCATAACTATAACACTCTAATCTAACTCGGCTTAAATTTAGAGGATTCGAGTATCATGCAAAATTATTGAAGTAAATAACCCTTTTTAAAAAACATTTACTAAAAAAATCAAAATGCGTAATTACCTTATATCAAAATAATTGAAATTACCTTATATCAAAATAATTGAATACGTTAAGTTTACAAAATATAGAACTCCAAATATTACAAAGTGAGAATAAATAACATGTTTAACACGAAGAACTGGAACTCTCACTCAACAATGTGTTCCTTGATCTTATCCTGAGAAAATAAGAACGGAAACACATTTTGAACGTTAAGAAGAAATATCATCAATACAACACAATTCATAACACACAAGTAGACATCATGATGTAGCCCAGCGTCATGTAGTCATGGTAACCCACATCCATCTAGTCTATTGAAAATGGTACATGTATGAGACATAGGTCACACATACATCAAGAATATACATCCAATGTCACACATTACCAAGTACCTCTGGTGAGACTTGGATCACATATGCATCAGGAACGTACACCCAACTAGTCCACTTTTCTAGAGTATTACAAATAAAGTTTACACCAAATCACATTAGTGCATCATTGAGTTAGCATTCTCAAATGTCACAACACAATTCTTGAGATATCTAGATAACCCTTTATATAGTACTAGATGATCATTGTACACAAATAAATTTGGTATCCTCATATTTTTTAGTGTCAAATAAAGATATAAATTTTATGTAATCTCATATCATAATTTTCTTATTCTTATTAATCACATTTAGTAAAGCTCATTCTTTTAAGCTTATTATTTCATTTATAATACTACTAGACTCATTACTCTCACGCCTTAATTAATAACAAGGTACACTAGCCCTTTTTCACTAACAATATTATTTTTGAGTATTGATACCAAAAATAGGTTTGAAGCCCCAATAATGATCCCTAGTATCAAAACCTTCACACATGTATTAATACTCACCTGGTGGGTACCGATATTCCCTTTAGCTATCGATACCAATTAAAGCCTCGAAGGTGAAATAATTTCTCCTATTACCAATAACCCTACATGAGTATTGATTCTCATCCTATGTAGTGATACCAAAACTAGCTTTGATGTTTGAATAATTAGAATTGATATTGATACTACACCCTTAATATTGATACTCAATTAATAATATTTATACTATATGAACAATGTATCATAACCCCTATGAAAGACCTAGATTTTATCCTACTCAAGAACAATATCGATAATCAAACCTAGAAATGACTTGTATTGAAACTCATATTTAAAACACATCTCAAACACTTATTAATGACCCTAGGGTCACTATTAAAGCTTTTAGAAGTCAATTGGCTTCATAATATACCATTTTCATGCATTTTTAACGTCCAAATCGGTCATACTAATCCACAATCAATAAAACACCCAAGAGATACTTCAAAAACCAAATAAGAAAGTGATGTTACATCTAATGAGTTAAAAGTGTGTTACCTCAACTCCAAAGCAACAAGAAAACCTCTAGTTAACCCAAGCATTGATTTCTTCTTAAACTAACCTTTAGAGGAGTCATCCAACTCTATAGAAAAAATAAACAAGTAAACCATGAATTACAAACACTCTTAGTGACAAAAAAGAAACAAGAAAACAAAATTTGAAATGATCAAAATGAACTTAAACAACTAGGTGAGCTCAAGGGTTTAAAAACCTTCTTAAACCTCTTATTCTAGCCACCTAACTTCCTATAGAAAAAATTGAGCTCAATATTGAGCTCTAAGGATATTTTTTCACAACTCGAATGAATCCTTTAATGCCTCAAATTTTGGGTTAGTAGTTTTGGGTTAACTCGAGTGGGTTTAGATGAACCCAATTATCTATTAAGAAGCTTTGGGTTAAGTTGGAATTGATATGGGTTGAGATGAAGCCCAAATAGCCATAAAAGGGGGTTTTTATTTGGAGGACGAACTTAGCAGGTAGTTAAACAATTGAAAGTTTCAAAGGTTGATTTCTTTTCATGTTGGTGAGGTCACAGCTAGGGTGAGCATTCGATCAAGTTGAGTAGAGTAAAACAATTTGAGTTGTTCAAGTTGAAAAGAAATATTTTACAATTCAAACTTAGCTTGCAAATTTTTCGAGTCGAGTTGAGTTATTCAAGTTTCTATATTAATTTCATTATAACTATTTAGAGTGTTATGGCAATGATTTATTCCATTTTTTTACTTCCTCTAACCATATAAGATATATATATATATATATATATATTAATTCTTTTCACATTATAATGTTATTTAACATATCAAATAAAATTTAAAATTATGAAATATATTCATAATATTATTTTTCAAAGAAATTATTTTGAGGGTAAAATATTAATGAGATGATAAAGGAGTCAAGGAATTTATAGGAAGAAAGAATTTGCAAACAATTATAGTCAAAAGACCAAATTGAGTAAAATGCAAAGTTAAGGG